TAATAAAAAAGTAGGTTGAGCAAAGACAGAGACACTTTACAAATTGACTGTCTTGGAAATTTGTATATGAGGAATTATTTATGTAAAAAAAAGTATTAACATCTGAAAGTGGATGTGAAGGACAGTTGTGTTTTGGGGGGGACCTGAATATCTTGTTGACAGTCATAGCATTATATCTGCTTAGCAAAGGAAGGCAGAATGTGAAATGTGTTGATGGGCATTGTTGCTGGGTCTTGAGTAGTTGTAGACCTAGTTGAGATGCAGAGGGGAAAGCCTATTTCAATTGAAAAGAGAGAAAACACAATGGGGGGGGGAGGGGGGTGGAGGGGAGGGAATCCACCTCTCTTTCCAGCCACTCCTTTCTGTCAACTATTAAGTAGTCAGTTTTTTCCCTTTACCGGTAACTGTTGAGGAACGGTTATTTCTTTTTTAACCTTCTGGTAACATTTGATCTTTTGATAGCTGAGGAGGAAAGAGATCAGGCTTTTGTGGGTCTTGGTGTGGTTTTTCTGATTTTGTTTGGTTGTGGGTTTTTTGGTGTGAGTTATTTGGCTTTTATTTTATTTTTATTTGGATTGTTCTGTGCTCTTTTTAAGGTATTTATTTTGTGTCATGGAATGAAATGTACATCACTTAGGATCTTTTTTGCTAATCGCTCTGGCTTAAGAGAGAAAACAAAAGTGAAGGAGCTTGAATTGTATTCTATATAGTCTGAGAATTCAAAGTTACCTGCCATCGATATTGTAAAATGGATCTATTTTAGATTTCTGCCTGAACTTACTGTTTCTTATAACATAGTGGGCTTTTTTTTTCATCTTTGGCTACTTGTATCCTGTTAAATCATGTAAAAGACTTTTTCATAAGTCTTTCATTTGTTTGGCAGATGTAGCTAAAGATTGTTTTAGTTTTTATTGCATTCAAAAACAGTTCACTGTCTCACTTTAAGTAAGAGCACATTATCTCTGTCTTGGCACTGCTTGGTAAAACTGTGCTCTCACAAGTGTTTTGTTACCAAATTGCATAGTTCTGGAGTTAACTGGGAAGGCTGGCAGCACTAGCGCAGTTCAAAACCTGCTGGATAGAAAATTGGCCAGGAGCCGTATCCTGAATTCCCGTGCTTTAATCTCGTTTGGTTTGGTTGGTTGGTTGTGTGGGTTTTTTTGTTTTTGTCATTTCCCCCTAATACATTTCCCTTGCTGGTCTTGTAAATTCTGAAAGCCAGAACAGAAGATGACATGATTATTATGATTGCAGACTAGTTTCTGTTGCTTCCTTATGATCCCTGGCTATTTGATGCATTGCATCTTTGATACTTTCTTAGGTTAAATCTGCATAGTAGAAACTTTGAGACAGTTATTTTTGTTTGTGACGCATGCCTTAAGGAAGGAAATGGAGAATGAGTTACTTTATTCTCATCCTTTGTAACAGTAGATCAGATTCCCCAAGTTGTGATGTAGGCAGTATTAGTTAAAAGCTACTAAAAGAGGAAGCTAAGAAAATGTCAACAAAATGAGCTTGGCAAAATCAGCCCTTTTTCTAAACTTACAGTTAAACACATCCATTGTACATGGCTTCAGATCATGAAAATTGTAGACAGAAATACTGCATGTGGATAAACAAATTCAGCCTCTGTATCTGTAGGGGACAAATGTGTGTTCCAAAGTTTGTTTAAATTAATATTGGTAAGATGTCAGGTAAATGTGGTGGGTTTTTTACTGTTCTTAAAACTGTGTTTCAGTCTCATTGTTTCTGCAGTATGTTTCGGAATATGAAAAGTTCATATGTATTTAAAGTCTTTGTCGTATAAAACATTAAGATAATGATAAACACATTACTTGAAGTTTCTTGATTTGAGGCTTTTAAGCAGATATAATTTAAAATATATAATTTTTTATGGCAATGGTCTATAAACACAGAACAAGTAAATAATCCAGTAGTTGCTAACAGGGTTATTTTTGGAAGTTGATGGCCAACTAAGGTGGTCTTCCTAAAAATCCTTTGCTATAGAGTGTAATATTTTCTTATGCACATATAATAGGAACGGTCTTTTCATCTTCACATTTCTTTTGTTTGGTATCTGAACTTATTGCCAGAACAGTGAACAGTAGTTGTTCTGTTTTGTTTAAGGAAGTGGGGTTAGAGATATAGCACAAAATGGAATTTCTTGAGAATGGGAGGAACTGATAATGCTGTTTTCATTCTTAATTAAAATTGTATTTAATTCAGTTGATGTCAATTTTCATTACTTTCACCATATGTTCCATTTAAAGGTCTTGCTAGAGAAGTTTTTATCAGCTCATCTTATTTTTAAGTTTACATATTTCATAGCTGTTTCACAATACGAGATTTCTAAACTCTTTGGTTTTGACATTGGCTAAGCTAAGAGAAGGTGTCTGTAGAGGTAATGTCATTTGCCTCATGCCACGTGTCTTGCTACACTTCCTGGTGACGCCATGATCTTGGACATGGACATGATTGATTATTTTCACTGCTGTATCAAGCAGATTTTTTGTCATGGCCATTAAAGAGAGTGATTCCAGACTTAAATCTTTTTGTAGCTAGGAGTCGATTGGGTTGCTGTGGGGAAGAGGGAAAATGTGTACTGCAGTGTACGGATTGGTAATTAATGTCAGCATGAAATTTAGAATTTCTTTTCTTGACCAAATCTATACGATGTTAGTGCATTTATAAAAAAATAAAATCCAACCACCTTGATAAAGTCAATAATTAGAAGTATTTGAAGTTACACTGGTGGAGGTCTAGAAGCATAAAGAAACTTGTACGACTTGTTTGTTGAGCCATGTTTTATTTAGTTTAGTTTATATTGACATCCACAGGTTTATCTGACATGTCTTTCAATTTTACTTACTGAAATACAATGAAAAAAAACACCTTAGATCTTGTCTTCTGTGTATAATAGAGATACTGCTGGGTATGGCTTCATGTATTAGGTAGTTTGGGGGGGGGGGGGGTTAAATATATACATGTATGACAAAGAACTCTGGTTTCCATGGGGAGCTCAGCAGTTCTTTGTGAGAGCTTAAATTGGTTTACCCTAGATGATCAGAGATACCATCCATAATTTCTTATGGACCAATAGGAAAAAAACAGATCAATGAAACATTTCCAGAAGCCAAGAAAACTGAGCCTCTCTCATATATTATAAAAAGCAGAGCAGGGGGAAACCAGTACTGTACTGCAAATCCTAAGCTGGTCATACTGGCTTTCTGGAAAACACACTGACATATTAAAATCCATTAGAAAAACTGTAACAAACTGCTTTGGTTCTCAGGTGATTAAACAACTTGAAATAGCTACCTGAGTACAGTCTGTAGGATGTTTCCATTTCTAGAATGTTTATTGCTCTCCATGGTCTCTTTTCCTTTTTAAAGCAAAATTCTGCATAGCAATTCAAGATGCATTCAGAAAATTGTGTATGTTAGTCTTAGACTGAAAAATTAATTATAAGTTTCTCTACTGAATGGCTTCTCTTGCACACATTCGTAGGAGGGGAAACTTTCAGAGCTTCAGGATCTGCAAGTTTGGAATGTTTTTCTGGATAATCGTACTACCAAATTATTAATATGGTTTTGCTTTGGCATCACAGAATGTAGAAAGCTTAAAAGCAATTTCTTAGCTTCTCTTGGAGGAAGGGGAGTGGAGAAATTGAAGGACTTACTTGGTAGATCCTTTTACATCTGATACCTGCAAGTAGTAATTTAATACATTTCTTAGGAGATTAGAAATATTCTAGATTACAAGATAATTGAACAAGCTAGGAACCAGAACTGTAGGAACATCTTGAGCTGATAGGAGAGTGGAAAATTTTGTTAGCGGTGGAGCTGAAAGCGGAAATTATTATTCTGCTGTTGTTGCTTACTGTGTAGAGGAAAAGGAAATACTTATCCTTTAAATGTGTATTTTTTCAAGTCTTTGATATATCATGTAGCAGAAAACAGACCAACTGCCTCTTTGCTTGTAGAAAATTAACAGTTAATTTCTATTTCTACATAGACAAAAGCTTATGCCTCCTTCAGTGAAACTGAGCTGATTTACTGTTTGAGGTGTAGAAAAAAATATTTTCACTCAAGGAAATGGTCTTTCTTTTTCCTGCCTCAGTTAACTTTTACTTTCAAGGTAGGTTTTTGCTTTAAGACTTTCCCCTGCACATGTATCCTGTGTTTCCTCCTTCCTCCCCTCCTACCCTTATTTTATTTTATTTTATTTAGGAGGTTCTGTGGCCAGAAGCTTGACAGCAGTGTTATCAGACATCAAAAACGCAGCTGGCAGATTGTGTATTTGTGGTGTCAGAAATTTTCTGTCACATTTTGTTGACTGATTTCAGTCCTAGTTTTGCTGTTTTCAAGTGTTATAAACAGGATTTGAATGGGCAATCTTAGTAAGGTTTTACTTTTATTCTTTGCCTGCTTTCAGTGCTGCCTAGAATTATTTTTTTCTTCCTCCCTTTTGAAATATTTTTTTTCTTTGGGCCAGAAAAATACTTCTGTGCCCCAGAACTTCTCCATTTTTGTCCAGTTCTGTTAGCTACTCTAATAAGAATTTCCTTCTCTACTAACTTTGTCTTCTCAGATCATTTCTGTTTCAGCAGTGATATATTAGTAAAGCAGTTAATTCCTACAATAAGAATGGAGTTAGCCTTTAATGACATGCATAGTAGGAAATGTGATCATTTTATGTATCAAATGTAACATAAATGAAACAGCCTGAGGACAGGAGTGCTTATAGTATTGTAGCAGCTTGCTGGTATGATAGTAGCAAAGAACAGTCAATAAAGAGAGGTGCTGCTACTCCTTAGTGTGATTAAAATTGAGGTGGTTGCTGTGGTTATGAAGCACCACAAGTGGAAAAGGAAGCATGAATCTATTTGATTAATAATCTGTAGACTGGTTATTAAACGTGCCTTTGAGCAAATAAAATAACATCAAGCAAAAACATCAAAGAATGTTGCTTTAAATTCATTTGTTTTTCTTCAAATACAGCTGATCCTACTGCTCTGGGATTCATCATTTCTCCATGGTCTCTCCTGTTGCTCCCATCTGGCAGTGTATCATTTACAGATGAAAATGTCTCCCAACAAGACCTGCGAGCATTTACAGCACCAGAGGTTCTGCAGAACCATTCTCTGTCATCTTTGTCAGATGTTGAAAAGGTAGAGTACCTCTTCCTTGGCAGACAGGAGTTGTCTATTGCTGTTGATTCCTTCACAAAGTAGCTTTAAACTGTCCTTTTTGGCTCCCTGTGTTTCTTGATTTTATTTGTAATTCTAGATTTCTTTTGTGAGAGGAACAGGGATCCTCCTGCTCTTTCTGTAGAAGTGGGATAGTGGTTATAATTATATGCACTTAAGAAGAAGTGTCTGTGTGTAGGTCCCTGTCACATGTGTGCTACTGACACCCATAGTTGAGCAACAGCTGCACAGAATAACTGACCATCAGTTAATAAGCAACACTTTGCCTTTTTTTTTTTTAAATTACAGCAACACCATTTATTTCTTTTTTTTTTTAAATATTTTTCACAAAATGCATCTGAGAGATAAGCAAGGGAATTTCTCAAGCACAATCCAGGGCTTAAAAAAATGGGTGTTCCTACACTGATCTTAGAAGGAAAGGTTTGTTTTAATTAACCTAAGTATTCCTCAGTTGTGTGCAAAATAGTTCCTTTCCACCTTGCTTTTTTAACTCTTCCCCAGTGTTAGAGGTTGAGGCAGGTAAGGTTTGTATGTGTGACCTTCTCCAGGTCATTGATATGCCCAGTCAAAATCACTAGCTTCTTAAATGTTTTCTTAACAGTAATTTGTTGCAAAGGGTAATGCTTTCCCCAGAAAAACATTCCCTTGGCCTTGTCAAAGGTATTTAATGTGTGGGAGTAAGAAGGAAACTGAGCCCTATTTCCATCTCTTTGGCTTCTCTGGATCGATAATCCTTAGGGAAGGAAACTAGCTGCAACCACTGTTGTAATCTGGGAACAATTATGACATTTGGCAGTTGGGAAGAACAGCAACATACTCTTACCGCGGAGGAAACTGGGATTGGCACTGATTGCTGTTGTGTGCACAAGGACTATTGAAACATGGGGGAGGCTTGTGTTGAATTTTTTGTGTTTGAAGCTTTTTTTCTTCTAAACCTTGTATATAGACAGTTTTCTTTAGGACTGTATCACCAAATACCTACCAAAAATCACTGTTCTCTCACTTACTTGCAAGCCTTTCAGACATCCTTTTTGCCCTGCAATATAGTCAAAGTTAATGATACAATAAAATATTGTCATTTTATTGTCATTTTATCTATGACAAAGCTATAAGCAATTAGCAACCTTGGTTGAAAATTTTAATAGAGAAATAAAAATAACATTAATAGAGAAATAAAAACATTGACATCAATGCACATTCTGGATCAGTTGTGTAGGGTGCAGCTGCCAAACTCTGTAGTCATACTGTTGGAATTGTTTATCCTCTTTCAAGAGACAACACTGTTGAAGACAGTAATGTTACCTCTAGTGCCAGCTCTGAAGTTAATATATAAAACAGGCCTTTGAAATGCCAGAAAACGGTTTTGAACTGACGTTGTGACCTTCGTTAGAGCTGACTGCATTCTTTGTTCTGTGCCAGCATTAATTCAGTATGTTACTTTTTTCTTTTTGAAATAAACAGAGAACTGTTACTATTAAAAGCCATGCTCTGATATTTCTTTATCTTAATCTTCAGGCAGGAAATACTCAGAGGGGCCACAGTGGCCTGTAAGCTCCAGCACAGAGCATATCAATAGGCGGTGACCAAATACTGGCATTCTGCATATAGGCAGCGCTGATTGATCCTCGCTGATTGTGGCTGTCTGACTTTATTTCTTGATAACAGTATAACCTTGCTTGCTGGGAGCTGATGACAACATTGAGGCTCTAGACTGCAGCAACTGTGTCGCTGTTTTCTTTGGGAAACAATTGGATGTGGAAAGAGACAAGCTTTGGCTTTACATAAGCAAATTACTCATACAGTCATGTATAAACTAAATAAAACCCTTTAACTTGTGGTATTCAGCTTTAGCATTAGGCTGAAGCTTCAGGCTTTGGGCTTGAGATGAATTAATCTGTTGTCCTGGGTTCAGCAGTAGCTGGGTTTAAACCATGCCAGTTCCTTTTGGTGCCCAACGTGGGGCACGAGGAGTTGAGATAACGACAGATCTGACTGGATTAATAGTCACTCGTCACAATGCTGATTTATTGGCTCTCAAGGTTGTTCCTCTTGATCTCACAGTTTCAGTATATTGTATCTTACTTCCATCCGGTATTTGCTGTATTAGTGTTTTTCAAGTGTGGGGCTTGGGCTAAGGTTTTTGTCTCATTGTACTTTATGATAATGACTTGTAATACAATAGAATCATTGTTCATGAAACTGATCTGGCTTATGTTCCCAGTGTGGTCACCACCTTTATACTTTGGGAGGTATATGATAGAAGTGCTTAGCCATTACACATCTTTTTTCTCCTTCTCAGGTGCTCAACCTGTGAAGGAGACATTCTTTTACCCTCCCAGTCGTCCCCCCAGACCATTTACATTTGAGAGTTTTTAAGTTTTTGAATGGCCTTTTAATGCTGTTGACAGTTGTTTGCTGACTGTGATAGGAATCACCATGCTAGCACGCATACAGAGTGTGTTTTGCCCACGACTGATTTCAAGAGTTAAGCAGAGCATGAGACTCTTAATCTCAGGGTTGTGGGTTCGAGCCCCACGTTGGGCGCCAAAAGGAACTGTCATGGTTTAAACCCAGTCAGGCAACTTGTTCACTCACTCCCAGTGAGTGGTGCTGGGCTGACAACAATCGAGGCCCCCCCCCCCACCGGGGCTCTCCCCTTCCCCGCTCCCAGAGGAACGGGGAGGAGGATCGAAAGAGTGCAACTCCTACGGGTTGAGACAAGAACAGTCCAGCAACCAATGTACAACACAAATCACCACCGCTACCACCGACGACAACAATGATAAGAGAAAATAACAAGGGAAGAGAATACGATACCACCGGCCAAGAAGCGAGTCCCACCTGGAAGCCCTTGTCCTTCCAGGTAACTCCCAGTTACCCCCCACCCTGGGCATGATGTGCTGTGGTATGGAATACCTCCTTGGCTAGCCTGGGTCAAGCGCCCTGTCTCTGCTTCCTCACAGCTTACCCTCCTCCCTGACAGAGCATGAGCCTCACAAAGTCCTTGGTCAGGGTAAACATCACTTAGCAACAACCGAAAACATCGACTTCACCAACACTGTTCCCGAGCTGAAAGTCAAAACACAGCACTGCACCAGCTACCACAAAGGAGAAACATGACTGCTACTGCTGAACCCAGGACACCTGTATTATGTTTGAACTCCACTTGATTTTCTGTGTGTTTTGCATGCATTGGTGGAGGAAATTAACTGTTCTGATAGCCTGGGATAGTACAAATACATTTGAAGAAAACTTGCTACTACCATTCTTGTTCTTGGTTTAAAGCCTTGTGGAGAATCACACAGCTGTTCTCCCACTGTGGTAGTCATGTCTGGGTGCAGTGAAGATAATCTCAAGACAGGATCTGAGAATTACTCATCCTGCATTTGCTCATATGAGACCCTCCAGTTGTATTCTTATGAATGTACCATTAAGAATTGAACGCTTTTCATGATGGCCATGCTATATACCAGTACACGTAAAAATAATCTCTAATAATGCATTAGGAAAAAGACCAGAGCATCTGTAACACTGGTCTGTAGTCCCCTGGTTGGGAACTATGCTGTGTAATACATCTGTGCAAAATGCCTCAAACATATCAGTCCTTTTGGGTTTATTTGCTTGCTTGTATGGAAGTAGGCAGCTACCTGAAACATAGCTTTGTACAAAAACTTTTGTCATATTAGGGCTTGCTTAGTTAAAGTTAGTAGGGCTCGTAAGCAGCTTATATATGCATCGAGGTTTTTTTTAACTGTTTCACTTTACATTTGTATTAAACTGTGTGTTGGGTGGTACACTGGTTATTTGTCTTGATACGTTGGCTTCTTTCTTGTATCTTGCTTCACACATGCTGACTGTGGTAATTTTTAACTTTTTCCTATCACAACTTGCTGTAGTTCACTGAACTCATTTACTGGAAATTTTCACTGTTTTCTTTTTTGATTATTATTCTGAAATCAGACGATGTCTGAAAGCTGCTGAAGGCAGAAAAACATCTTGTTTCTTGATGCTTTATAACACAGTGACAGGGTTGCCATTTGTGTTTTGAAGTTATGACTTTACTTGCTAACACAAAGTAACAGTGTATTCAAGTAATAGAAAAAGTTACAGTCAATGAATACCCTTTTGATTCCTAGACACACAGTCAATTTGAATATAAAATAGTCTGAGGTAGCTGCAAGCTTATTGGAAATAGAGTAAGCAAACCATACACAAAATTATAGTGAAAGACGAGATAAGACAAGAGGAAACAGCCACAGGCTGTGCTAGGGGAGGTTTAGGTTGGATCTTATGAAAAATTTCTTAACCGAATGGGTGGTCAGGCATTGGAACAGGCTGCCCAGGGTAGTGATGGAATCGCCGTCTGGAAGCATTCTTAAGCTGTGTAGACAAGGCCTTCAGTGACATTGTTTAGTGGTGGGTTTGACAGTCCTGGGGTAAAGGTTGGACTTGATGTTCTTAAAGGATTTTTCTGATCTCATTCATTCTGTGATTCATTTTGGAAATTAATTTGATGATTGATATTCTGTGGAAAATATTAAAAATATAAAAATACAAAAATAAGCTAGAATTTTTGAAGAGATGCTTTTATTTTGAAAGCTGTTTACAGGTAGCACGTTTCAGTTTAGAGGTCTGGTTTGCAGGGTTGTATGGTAATATTTTTGTTGAGGATGATGCACTTCTTGGTTGTTGGAAACATCTTTCATTATGTTGAAGCTCAGAATCATAGAATGACAGAATATCCTGAGTTGAAAGGGACCCATGAGGATCATCGAGTCCAACTCCGAACTCCACAGAGAGAAATCAAAAAATTAAATATATTTAAGAGTATTGTCCAAATGCTTCTTGAATACTGACAAACTTAGGACCATGACCAGTTCTTTGATTAGAGTTACTGATTTTGATAACAGACTTTTTAATTGCTTTTTTTGCATTTCTGGGGGACAGGAGGAGTTGGGGGACTTTTTTTTTTGGGGGGGGGGGTTGTTTTTCATTGTTGTGTTGGATTTTTTTCACAACCGGATATGGAACAATATTCTCGGTATTTAAAAGATAATGTTTCTGGTTGAATGGGGTGATGGTATTAACTGAGCACCCTTGAGTTACAGTGTCTGTTCTTTGTATGGAACAGAGAGACTTGACTTTGGCCAGTGCTTTCTTTCTGGGAGAGGAGGTTGAAGGATGGGTGAGCCCTTGTTAGGTACACAGTGCTGGCTACATATTTGCGTCTAGCATACAGCTGTGTTTCAGTGTTTGTCAGTCAACGGGACTGTACGTGTGAGTAACCATGTGTCAGCAGTATCTGGTATATCACTGCCTTATACTGATGGGAACCTTTCTGTCCTGTGCTGACTCATATGCTGTGCTAGATAGAGACCATCTGACAAGATTTAAGTGGCAGAAGTTTAGGACTGGAGTGCTTCTCAAAGTATGTTGAATTCCAATTTTATATGAATAAAGCACGTTGAATTTACTAGTGCAACTTTAATACATGTTGCTTCTAAGTGTATTTAGTAATTACTTCCTTACCCTGTTACAAAGCTGTGCTGCTCTTCCAAATACATAAAAAGGAAACGTTTTTCTGTTTTACAACAGATATATGAAAATACATCATACTTGTGTTTTGGGGTTAATTCCTGGCACGGTGGAGTAATGGTATAATGTCTTTCAAACGGAGTGGTCTAAAATGGAAAATACTTATGCATCATCCTTTTTCTGCGTCTTTGAGAATATATTTTGTTGTCTTGAGCAGGCTGAGAGACTTCTCAGTACAAAGATGAATTCTCTTGTAGGACCTTAAGCTATGCCTAGTTGTATGATTTTTAACAATTCTATGTATTATAGTATGAGAAGGAGAAAATTATTTTTCTAATTTTGTAAGTTCTGTTGAGACCATCCATTACATTTGTATACTCAATTTACACTTAATTTTTTAAGTCTCTATATGAAGTACCAGAGTCTGGACAGATCTTGTCAATATATATTTCTGGGACTTAAGTTAGATGTTTTGCTTTTAGTTTGCAAAGAGGTTGACTTAGGCAAATTGCTTTTAATTTATTGCTGCCCCTGTAATTGCTGTTCATCACCTCTGCAATTATCCAATCAGCTTGTTGCTTTAAGTTGCACAAATTTAAGTAGTACAAATATTACTAATAACTTGGTAGAAAGAATCATCACTACTGTATGTTACTTACACCGTACAGAAAAACTGTGTTTTTTCTGCACTTGCTTACCTGTATGGTTTTCACAGTCACCTACAGGGGCAGTATGTGCTTGTGCTCTCAATTCTGCAGTATTTAAAGGTTTTATTCCCTGTCCTCATGGGCTACTTATGTTAAAGATATATTAATGCTGATATTAATCATTAATTATACATGTAATGATTAATGTATCTTAAAGTATCAATAATAGGTTACGGTGACTGCTTTATATGTTGATGCTTTTATGTTCATTCCTTTTTTCCTTTGATCCCAGTGTTAGGGATCTCTTGACAGTAGTAGCCTGCTGTTTGATTCCTGCTAAGGTCTGCCTTGCGTTTAGATTAAAATTTAAGAACCCTTGGACAAAGCAATAGAGTGCGTACCCCACACCAGGCTGATAAAAGGGATTACATGTGCTTGTGGCTTCAAAGTGATATGAAAGCTTAAAACTGAACAGAGAAGACAGAGGCATTGGTTAGATGCAGTACATTTATTTCATAGCAGTAGGCGAAGGAGAAAAAAAATCTGGAAGACAGGTGAGCTTAAATAGCAGGACTAAATGATGCTGTTAGTTGTTCTGTTTTAAAGCTCTGCTTTGCATTTCCAGTCCTGTTCAATGAGCTGATGTCTTGTGCCTCATGACAGGTCCATATTTATTCTCTTGGTATGGCACTTTTCTGGGGAGCTGACCATGAAGTTCCTCAAAGTCAGGTAAGTTTAGCTTTCATTTTGTTTAATATTGCAACTTCAGACTTGATAGTTGACTGAATATGCATTTGAGTTAACATGTAGAATATCATAATGAGACACTGTAGAGGAAGGTTTCTTTTCTGTACGTGGAACTTTTTCCTGTGGAGTGTGCGAGGGTGGTGGTATCTTGCAGAAGGAAGGCGCTGATACTACCTTTCTGTTAGTTTCCATGAAGAAGCTGCTGACAAAGGAGAAAAATATTTGTTTAGGCTTATATAAAAACAAATATTTAAATAACATTGTTACTTTACTAATAATAAAGCAACTTGTTCTCTATGCTGCTGTTTCTGTGAGTCTGGACTTGGCACATACAGATACTTATGTTACACAATGGCCAAGACAGGGTATGAATTGCCTGGGAGTAGACTCTTGCTATTGACTTGTCAGTCAATGCTATCTATCTATAGCAATGTATCTAACACAGTTGTAGACTGCTTAGAGCTGAGTGTTATTGCTCAATGGAGTTATTTCGCACACCCAGCAGAACTCCTAGGCTGTCTTTACAAAACTGACTGAAGATGATGTGATTCATCATCTTCCTGGGTGCTCTTTCCCTGCCCCCAAATAAACATTTAGAAGTCAATATGCAGAAGAGTGAACATAAGATGGAATGCATCCAAAAAAGTGTTTCGTGATGGGCTAGCAGTTGCGGCATTTGGCAGAGCATTGTGCAACTCAAGGAGCTGTTTCTGTTTCATATTTGAGTTTAGTCCCACTAGTTGGTGTTATGTGTAAGGGTAAGGAAGAAACTTTTGAAAGGCTCTTTGGCAATGTAAGTGTTCAGTTCCTAGTGCTAGTTGGGTTCTCAGTTATACTGATTTGGAAGTAGCTGCCCAAATGCAAAAGTCAGAACAATTGAAGCGATGACTGTTTTAAGGGTACTTATTTGCAATGCCTACAGTGCCTGTCCCAAGCGCCCTAATATTTTCTTAGACAGCTATGCCCTTTCTTTGCTCTCCCATCTTGTAGGAAATGAAAAGAGCACTATTCAGCAGCAGTGAGTGATTGAAGGTAGGTAAAGGTAGGTGTTGAACAGAAAGTTGGCATGAATTTTAGTCACCTTTTTCTTTGTTTCTTCCTTTTGTGTCAGGTTGTAGCAACAGTTTCAGAGTAATGCAGTGGGAAGGAGTACTCTACCTTTTGATATAACAATATTTTTCCAAAGACAGTGAGGTGACATATGCCTGGAAAGAAGAGGGGAGTAGAAGTCTAGAATTTACCTTTGGGATGTCTCATGTGCTGCCTCTGTCCAGTGGCATTAGTGGGGGCAAAAGGACAGTCTGCGTATGGTGTTACTTTTAACTGTTAAATTGCACATTCAGATTTTCCTGTCTTTAAGGGGTTTTTTTTCCATATTTGTCTGCCTGTGTTGGCTAATCAGCTGCTTCTCTGCTGGGAGTGTGGTTGAATACAAGAGTGATTTTTACGAATAGTTAAAAGTGTTAAACAGAGAGATGGGAAAAGCCTGTGTTAATTGAACAAGGGTCATCCAGAACCCTCTTCTTTATTTATTTATTTTTTTTAATAGTACAGTTTAAGAGTACTAATGCAGGGAATATTGGCAGATTGTAGTGAAGTGCTCTGTGATGCAAAAAAGCACAACAATGCTTGTACTTTGTGAGTAACCACCCGCTTCGGGAGAGTTGCGGATCAGAAAGTTCAAGTCCCAAAGTGCCTGCGGCATCTGGGAACAAGTGTTATTGCTCGTTATTGCTCATTATTGCATACCCTGAGGAGTGATATTCCACATACAGTGTGCTGGATTAGCTAAATGGGTGGAGGAGAATTAATTCTAGATGGTTCTTAACTGTATGGGTGTTGTCATGCAACTGTGAAGCTTTGCTTCCTAAACGAGTGGCTTTGCTGGTTTATTCCTTATTTTTTTGGTTGGTACTGTTTGATGATTTCACTGCACTTTGGAAATGCTAACACAGCTGCTGCAAAATATTAGTGAGGTGAGGAACTGTAGAAAATGAGCAGAGACAGTTACAAAATTGAAGAATGTTCAAAAACAGCAGAGAAAATTTCCTCTGAACCTTCCTGCTAGTCATTAAGTCCTTAAGAAAGGGAACTTACAGATCAGGCAGCTGGTTTTAGCCAGTTTGTTGTAGAGTAGGAATCTAATCTACATGATGAATGCCTATCCTGATCTACAACTGCCATTTTTTCACCACCTAGATAGTGACTTTCAAACTGGTATTCAGATAACATGGACAGTAAGTCTCATAGTTATTTACTATGCTGAATGTCTTTTGTCCGTGTGTATACGACAAGTCACTGATAAAACTGATTCTCCTATCTCTCCTGTGTTCATTTGTCATTAGCCTATCAAACTTGGAGATCATCTCAACAGCATACTCCTCGGGATGTGTGAAGATGTCATTTATGCCCGTGTATCTGTACGAACTGTTCTGGATGCTTGCAGCGCCCACATAAGGAACAGTAACTGTGCCCCTTCTTTTTCATACGTGAAACAGTTGGTCAGACTAGTTCTGGGAAGCCTGTCTGGGGTAAGTCTCTGTCAGCATTTGAAGAGTAATAGAGATGAGCAGGAAGAGAGCAAAGCTGCTAATTCAGAGTCACTCTGCAGTCATTCTTCCTCTTGTTTTGTGATGTTGCAATTTTGATAAGGGTGAGTGTTGAAAGGAGAGAATTCCTTTTCTCCCCCTGTAAAAGTTTGTGCACTTGACAGTTCCTCCTGGGATATGTGTTCATGACTGCTGTTTCTGAGGAAGGTAATTTTGTGAACTGTTTGTCTCATTGAAAGTAAAGTAGGGAAAAATGGGAGAACAAAAACCATGGTGAACTCTGGGGCAAGCCTTAGAATTGTTGCTACTTGAAATGCTTCAGAAATGATTGCTGTGAATTTTATTTTTTTAAAGCTATGCTTGACTTTCGGAGAGTTGTTTATTAACCGGAAGGGGTACATTTTAGGCAACATGCCAGTTGTCTTGCAGTTCTGCTAAGCTTTTGGATATAATTGTGGAGGATGTTATTGTCTAATGATGACAAATGCATTAAACTGTTTTCAGAAGTAAAAGGAACTACATGAACTCATGTTGCAAAGTTACTATTCCTGACAGGCAACCTCTCCCTTCACCTAAACCATTACAACATAACTTCAGAATAGTTAAATAATTTTAAGGCTCTGAGTAGAAAGGAAGGCCGTTGTTGATACTGTTAGACTGTTCTATGACCAGTACTTGCTTTCTTTCTGTTCCGTTTATAATTAGAAGAATTGGTGAGCTGTTTATCACTGCTGGAATGATATTCCATGGTGGTCCTGAATTTTATCTGGCTTTATATCATTGAACTCCTTTTTTTATCTCATAGGGGATATGCCAACATAAAAAATTGGTGACTAGAGAGACAGCACTGTAATTGCAAGAAAAATGTTTGACTTTCTAATGCTTCCTTGTAAAAAGAAAAAAATACATTCTTATGATCTAATTGTTAGATAGTTTTTCATAAATCTGGTTTGGAAACACTTGCATGAGGGGAGAGTTCCCTGCATTTGTCTAGTATTTGGCAGCAGCTGATTATGACAGGCCTCCAGAAATAATGCTGAGCCTGAGCTCCACAAAGCATTGTCTAGTCTGTGAGGTTATGTCTGTCAGTCCAGTGCTCCTCTCTGTAATATCTGAAGTCCTGTGTAGTTGCCAAGAAAAGCAAGTCTGTCATTCAGTGAAATAAAGGCCTACAAGGCCTTAATCAGTGAAGCTATTATAATAAGATCCAAACCTTAAACTGGGCCACAAGCTATAGAAAAGGCCACTATGGAGAGCGAGGCATCAGTCTCCAAGTTCCTAAAGGATATTGCTTAGCAAATATTTTGCTTTTTCCTCATCTTGCTCTCGTCAGCAAGCTTTTAGAGGGAGTGTGACGTTAGTGTGACAGAGTAATCTAGACCGACCTGCCAAAGACAGCAATAGTGGTCCCAAATGTACGTACTAAATCCAGCAACTGCATTCCTGCCTCCTATATGATGCTGATAATGAAGGAGCAGGACTGCTGGCAGTTATCCAGTGCTGAAGTTTTGCTAACCTTATAGGTTTCCTCTACCAGTAACCTTTTAAACCTAATTCATAACATGTTGCTGCATTGGCTTTACAAGAAGACAAGAACAAAACAACCAAATAGAACCAAGAGTTGACAGAATAACGATGACATAGCTGTGCTGCTGTGTTTTCATACGCCTTAGGTAGCCATCCCTGCTGTTTTTAATGTTTAGGGCTCTGTATGTGTGCTGGCATTCTTAAGTTAGTAAGAAAAGCATATAAAATTGAGGTTTTAGAACCAGAGTACAACTTGCTATTCTAAGATCAGCATGCCTCCAGTCTTGTGTGGCCTTATGAAAGGCTAGAGAGATCTTAGCTCTGTAACTGATCAATTGGTGCTCTGTAAAGCACAGCTGAGAGGCCCTGTTTGAATGTTTTCACTTTCCATGTTAATATGCTTTGAAAAGGTCAATATAGCACAAGATCGATTCCATCTGCTTAATGTTAATTGAGTTGCATTGTAACTGTAATGGATAGAAGGCTGCTTGATTTCTCCTTCCCACCTCCCAGCTAAGCCACTGTCCAAATTAAGCCAATTCCCAGCATATCAAAAGATCTCACTAAAGATTCTTTGTTATAGCAAATAAGCTGTTCTTTGAATGATTGTACATGTGGAAAAATACTTTTTTTTTTTTTTTTTTTTTTTTAGGGAACTAGTGATTAAGAAAATAAAAAGTTAAACGTCTGGCAATAGTTAAGCCTCACACACAAAAGGAATGTGCCTGAGGGGCTAAAGAATAGCCTACTGACAAATGCATGAAGATTTTACATGTGTAATAAATTGTGTGAGATATCAGCCTAAAACTACCAAGTACAAGAGAGTTCTTCCTATTACACAGAAAGCTCATTTTACCAATCCCAAGCTCCAGTCATGTTGCAACTATGGAGCATGGTTTTTGAGTGTTGCTATAGGGGTGGGATGTATTTAAGTTACACACTTAATTTACACATAGTAGAAAAAGGTAGGCCAAATATGTAGTAAAAATAATGCATGGATTATTTAAATATAGATAATTCTAGGGGGTCTTCTCACTGATGAATGTGGGGTTTATGAAAAAATTTGAACTTCCACTTACCTTAACTGTTTGGCACTGACTTATATTGTGCGTTTACATAATGGACACTTATTGTTGAGATCTTTCAATATTTGTGTTACTGTTTTTTTTATGTTGCAGGTGGATCAGCTTCCTTGTAACGGAGATAGAAAATTGCAGCCAGACAGGAGCCAGGCTATTCGAGAGAGACTGAGGGGAAAAGGACTTCCCACAGGTAAGTACTTTACTGCAGTAAGGGTTATGGCAATAAATACAGCTCTGTGGAAGACCAAGCTTGGGTTCATTTTTGCAGCCAATGAAACTGAATATAGGAGGACATGCTGACATTCACAGAACTATGATGTTTCAGTGTCTAGCTGACTGTTGGTGATGGTGACATGAAATATTTTTTTCAAGAAAAAACATGTCTTTTTCCAATTCAGTCGTGGTGGTAGGAATAGGTTTTAAAGGCTCTTGGCCAAAAGTTCTGTTTCTGGAGAAAGGGAATCTTTAGCAGAAGCTAGGTCAGCTAAAGGAACAGGAAGCAGCTTTTCTTAGTTCCCTCTTTCTTTTGGACTCTGCTTTCTGTGTGTGGAGAAGCACACAGTCTCTTTCCCTGCTTCCCAAGCAGACCTGGACCCTTTCTCTGCATGCAAAACTTTTTATCTACCACCTCTTTTTTCCATCAGAGTTCTGCTGTGCTTTGGCAGTGAGGTGGATATGGAGACCAGGTAGGGTTGTATGGTTACTTCAGGGAAGTAAGGAAAGGGGGAACTGGAGTGAGGCGGGGAAAGGGAGGTGCAGGGAGGAGGTAGACTGTGGCTGTTGCCACTGTGGAGGAAAAAGGATAGTGATGTAGGCTGACAGCTTATGCGTGACTTCATTAGATATCCTTGTTTAAGGTCAGTGGGAGCATCAGCTTTGTGCTAGGCTTCTTGGACAAGAGGATGTGTTCTTCCAAAGACTGGTCTCATATTTCTCTGGAAGAATTAAAGAGCTGGGAAAGAGCATTTTGTAAAGCATCAGCTGGGACCACTTTAAGTAGTTATAATGAAGGCAGTGAGATGTGATAATGAGGTGAGGCCATTCTTGCCTAAAAATGTTCATCTGTAAATGGAGTATGGCAGAATACTACATCACCCACAGATACTCAACACCGTAACTGTTAACAACACAGGGTTTTCATCTGCCCCACATTAACTCTTTCTATTTACCACCACTAAACTTGGAACAAAATTATATTGTTGATGTGCTAAAGTTACTCCTCTGTTTCTCAGTTTTGTGTGAAGCAACGGTGCAGTGAATTGCAGAAACCAAAATTATCTGTGGAATTCTTAGTGGCAATACAAACTGCAAATTAGACACAAGTCTGGCAAGGCATTGGTGGTTTTCCTTTATTGAATCTTTTGAGATGTGTCCTAGATTAGGCTACTTTTGATATAAAAACCTTATGTCAGTGGTTGTCAGCACTTCCAGTACAACGCTATGTATTTAGGAACAGTTTCTGGTACAAGCTGTCTCTTCGTTTTCTGGCACCACTGCACTCTTCTGACTGCTTTCTCAAGAGGCTTTGTTTTCTTACTGGCTCTTTTTCTTCTTTTTTTCAGAATATTTCTGTAACAGTAGGAAGATCTGTAGGAATACAGGGTTTTGGACTGAATTGATCTAGTTGACTCTGTAAAGCATGTAATGCCTTTCTTTTCTCAACCTCCTAAGCTTTCTTAAAATGAATTCTTTCCCTGGTTCTCACCAATTTTATAAGGGCTGTACTAGAACCATATTGTTCTGATTGTTAAATTTTTAGTTTATTCTTTAACTCTATTCCCAATTTTCAGTGCTGTCAGGTTCACAGTTTTTTTACATGCCTTTTTTCTTTTGCCTGTTCCTTGCCTTTTTTTTTTCCCCATAACTTTATTTGAGCACATTACCAGCTGGCTACATTTCCATACCCTCTTTCCATTATCTGTACTGTTTTTTTATTCCATGATTATAATAAACTGCATGTTTTGGTAATGGTCAGAATATTTGCTGAGTTTTGGAGACTTAAGGTTGTGTTTAAACTCTGGTCTCACTGCATTAGCAATCATCTTGATTATTCTTTTCTTTGGTGTTTCTAGTTTTGTTTTCACTAGTACAACTGAACAGTTTTTTGCTGGTTTGTTTTTCATTTTCTTAGAAAATCCTTAAATTCTTTTTTTTAATGTTTGTGTGGTTTGAGAGGTCTTGTTTGTTCAGTTATTTTCCTAACCCACAATTTTAAGCTTTTAGCAGATAATTCTCCCCACCAAAGTAATGTTTGTCCCCGAAGTCTTAAGTATATCTTAACAAAAAAGCTTTTGTTTTAGGTTCTAAATTTTGGAGATGAATGTAGTAGCTCCAGCCAGTATCTCCATGGTTTTCTGGCTCAGTGTAGGGTGAATAACATCCCTGTAATGTCTGAAACTTTCTCTGAGGACTATGTCTTTGACTTAAAGGGCATAGACTAGATGATCTAATTGATGCTTTTCTACTGTATCCTCCAACTTGAAAAAAATGTCATGGCTAGAATATTCTTTCCTCTTATCCTTGTTTTTTTTGAATTGTTTAGTATGCATGACTTTGCTTCTGAGATGGTTCAAAGGTGTTGCTCTGTATTTTGATTTCCATAAAGTTCAGTTAGGATGCAGTTTCTGAATCTCTGAAGGGTTGTCAAGCTGAATGTTTGTCTTGATGTTGGTGTGCTTGTTTGCCTAGGATTTCCAAAGTGCCAAGTAGAGCAGGTTCCCTGCAGTGTGTGCACTTGTGAAATCACTGGGTTGGAAAACAATAACCAGTTTTAAGGGTTCTCTGAGACTGGGGAGTCCACTTGACACAGCTGCTGTTGACCAATAAATTCAGCACAAGGTTTTAAGTGACCTCAGGCAAAATCACTTTTCTGAACAGTTTCTCTTTTTAGGGAACATTGTCTGAAGAGATCTAATTAAATATAATATTTACTTAAATAATCTTTGTGAAATAAGTGAACTTGATAACCCCCAGACTATAAAGCTGGCTGAATAGTCCTCATCCTCTAACTGCTGTTTCTCTTAAGTTGATTGAAATTGCATCCATGCAGAGTGTTCCAGATAACATGTGGCACAACAGGTAATGAATGTTTGCCCATCACTCTGCGGTGCAAACATCACTCCAAGCCTGGTCCTGAAGGTACAAATTATTAATGAGATGCTCTTGAATACTTGATTTTTTCCCTATTTTTTTTGTCAAGATGAACTCATGCAAATTTTGTCAGTAGCAGCACGCACCAGTTGCACTGGGGAGTCAGCTTTTGGATTTCTGGAAAAGTGAGCTGTGGAATGTATTACTACTTTTACCAATTATAATATCATTGATTGAGGAGCCACAAGTAAGAGACCAGATGAAGGTTTAAGAAAAATGCAAAATCTAAAAGTTCAAAAAAAAAAAAAGGAGGAGACTGAGGGTTGACCTTATAAGTGTCTATAAATATATAAAGGGGGAGTGTCACAAGGATGGAGCCAGGCTCTACTCCGTGGCAAACAATGATAGGACAAGGGGTAATGGGTACAAACTGGAACACAAGAGGTTCCACTTAAACTTGAGAAGAAACTTCTTCTCAGTGAGGGTGACGGAACACTGGAACAGGCTGCCCAGGGAGGTTGTGGAGTCTCCTTCCCTGGAGACATTCAAAACCCACCTGGACACATTCCTATGTAACATTATCTAGGTGTTCCTGCTCCGGCAGGGGGATTGGACTAGATGATCTTTGGAGGTCCCTTCCAATCTCTAGCATACTGTGATACTGTGATACTGTGAACTGTCAACAAGCAAAAATATTTTTCAGTTACTGTGTGGGTTTTATGCTACTTTGGTGTTATGCTTCTTCCCCCTATCCCTAGAAGTAGAAAATATTTTTCATGTTTTCTGTTATTTGAGTCTTTATTTTCAGAAAATAAGATAAATTGCAGTCATTTTTTTAATGTTCTGTCTGTCCTGCTTTCACTTAACCTGTCCCAGTTTCTCTGTATCATCTGTGGAACTCTTGTTATTATTCTCCTTTTCCCTAGAGGGTTTGCAACCCCCTTAGCTTCCCCAAAGCCTTTGCCAATTCTACTTCTGTTATTAATCCCATTTCCTAGTGTGTCTTAATGACACCATCTTCTCTATATTTTGATCTTAGATATGTGCCTTGATCTGCACTTCACTGAGACCTCAGGGAATATGGAGTATCTGTAAAATACCAAAACAAAGCAAAACAATCTCCCCCCCCTACTGCAAACCAAACCAGCTCTAGCTGTTTTCAGTTCCACTAGCGTGCTTATGTATACTGAGTTATATATGTGAAAGTTAGTGAGCATCTGATATTAAGGAGATACAGCTTGCATTTGATTCAGGGCAATTTAATGCTTGGTTATTTCTTTTTCTGTAATGGTATGCTGATTTTCTCGTGCAAATTTTGTCAGTAGCAGCATGCACCAGTTGCACTGGGGACTCAGCTTTTGGATTTCTGGAAAAGTGAGCTGTGGAATGTATTACTACTTTTACCAATTATAATATCATTGATTGAGGAGCCACAAGTAAGAGACCAGATGAAGGTTTAAGAAAAATGCGAAATCTAAAAGTTTAAAAAAAAAAGTTTAGCACAAGGACAGGGGAGTGCAGGCACACATAAGGGACATATTTTATCAGTCATTTTACCAGCATATTTAAGGAACTAAATATAGTGAGTAGAAGTTTTCCCTGGAGAGGACAGAAGACTTGTTTGAGGTTATATTCTGTTGAATCATTCTGAAAAAGACAATTTTCAGTGAATAGAATAGCTGTCATATGGAGAAAAAACCAGCATAAAGGGAAGGCATTTATTATGAACTTAAGAGTATCAGAATGTTACTATGAGTATCTAACTTAAGATAGCTGATAAATCATGGTAAGTTCATGAATATAGAGATGGTTCAGCAAGGGATGTGCTCCTAGTTGCAGAGTAGCCAACTAATACCTTAGATATTTGTAGCCTTTCAAAAATGCTAAGATTTTTGCTTTAAGTCTTTGAAAATCATTAATGTCAAGATCAGTTTTCCATACTGTGGTCAACAAAATTATAATTGCTGGGACTTTTTTGTTGTCTTAGGACAAACGTTTTGAAATATTTTCCCACTTCACATGTTTAGACTGGATGTTTTGGTCTCCTTACATACCAAGTTTGGATATTCTCAGCTATTCATTTCCATCTTTATGTCTTGA